AAGCCACCTCCTCCTGGCATCCTCTCCCCTGCCGTTGGTTACTCGACAGGTAGTCGAATGAAATTGTGTAAAGGTAACAGTGTGAAGCGATTTGTTCATCTCAAAATAAGTCACTATACCCCTAATCACTAATATCATTATTGTTTTAATATTATAAATATGAATGGAAGTTTGTTTGTTACGCTTTGACAACAAAACAACAAGCTTTTTGGAACTGTGTTCCATAGCAGCCAGGGATTTTAACAACAATTTGGGTTAGCAAACAATATGAAGAACCGGAATAGAAATAGTGCAGATCGAAAAAAGCCGTCACATTCATCAGTCCGTTGACCCTTGAGGGGTGCGGTCGGATAATTAAGCGACGCGTGGCGTTACAGCCTAGCCCTACAGGGGCGCCCATTTCGACCGCTTCCTGGAGGTGTTTCGCTATGTCACTAATGGCTTACTATTACTTCAACTTAAAGGTATTATGATTCCAATTTGTGTACTGTGATTTTTACTGGGAATTTCGGGGAGGTCCTATACCACCGTAGAATATAATTCTACCGTGTAATGGATTCTATACTCGAAAGCTCAGAAAACGGAAACACCTCAACTTCAGCGGAAGGACGAGGACAAAGATGGGACTGGTTTTGTGTCCTATTTCAGTGTTGTCAGTATTTGTGTCTGCGGTCAGTGTCTCTTGCTGTACACAAGTCCTTGAAAAAGCCTTAAATTGAATAAAATATCTGACTTAGACTCTCCGTCTATGAGGATGGTAAAATTTTATATGATCACCGTAAGTGCGCGCACGATGAATAATGATAGTGGCATTATAAAGAGCAGAAAACGACTTTAGAGAACATTTTTCATAAGTTATGAACGTAGGAAAATATTACTGCTGTAATACGCCCGTTTGGACCGACATGCTACCGACTTTACGCCAATAAAACTTGGAAAGGAGCGACCGACCGAGTAATAACTGCAAGAAAGTGGCGTTAAGAGCGTGTGGCGCGCGGGTCGCCCGACTTTAGTCTACGGGGTCACAGGTTCTAATGCAATCTATTGACAATTGGGCATATGCTTGCTGTTGCGCTGACTTTGCGGTATGACGTCACTCTGTCCTAAGGCAATGATAAGGCCTTTATTAATGGTACGAGAGCTAGCAACGTCGGGAAAGCAAGAATTTCAGGTAGGTCAGTTTATTTTTACCACAGACGATAACTAAAATAAAGCCTTACATATGGAGACCAACACAATCTTTGGGTGTTGTAGTTGCATTGGCCATCTAATAGTGTGCGTCCCGTTACCTCACTCCCTAAGAGGGGTAGAAGGTAAATGCTTTAATTTTTTGTAAGTTTTCGTAAGGAATTTAGGACGAGCAGGAAAATAAAGGCAGTTAAAGTTGCTTGCGTGGGCATACTATAATTCAGACAATGATTATTAATAAGCAAGCATTGACATTACCAAAGACTTTTTGTTTTTATAACCGTATTCAATAAGAAGGCATCATTGGTTGAATAAAAACACACAAGGAAGGAGTAATTTTTCGCACACACTCGCACGTCACAAATGTAAAAGCAAGCGGACGCACACAAACACACAAACCCACGTGTGCAAAGCAGTCATATGCATACAGCCCCACCATTCAAAGTGTTCAAGTCCCTTTTAGTCTAAATAAGCAAAGCTTCCAAGACTTCAATTTGGGGCATCCGTTTAACCTCGCTAAATGTTAGTTCGTCCGCTATACAAATATATAACGTCTCATTACTTGCGATGTATACTAAGAGGGATAATTAAATATTTGATACCGATATCACATAAACTATGCACTGTGACGAAGTCAATTAGTGCTTCATTAAATTCTTTTATTTACGAAGTGCAGTCTTAATGAGTTTGTACTAAGACTCTGTTAGTTAATTAACTTATTAAGTCTTAAGTGCTGGCGCATGACATAAGGGGCGGTGGTATAATTACTCGGTGGCTCAGTTGATAAGCTATTGTCTTGGGTGCCGGGAGTCGTGGGTTCTCGCTACAAGGGTAGTATTGGTGACCCACAGATGCAGACCCTTCCGCATACGAGTGTTTGTTAACGTGAAATAGGCATGCAGGTATTCTGTGATTTAGCGGTACTTCCCCGGATAGATCTGCCCATTCGTGCGACAGAGTTGCTTCTAAAGGAATAGACAGATTATGGTACGTTTTTTGAAAGCTGACCTGATCTAGATGATTCTTAGTTATAATTTGAATTTTTTGTGGGGGTTACTTGAAATTTCATAAGTTTTTATTATTTGTATAGTTTATTCGTACAGCATCACTAGAATTTACTGAATTGAGACATACATAGGGGAAAGTTTTAAGCTTTCATTTCGAATAAGTATGCGGGTAAATAGATAATGACGCGTGTTTAAAATTTCACTATAATTTGCGCTAGAATTTGTAACACGCCGCATCCTCGTGTTGCGTTTTCAATATACTGTTAGTTAACCGGCGACTTTGTGATCGGCGTTAATTACTGTCTTTCGTAATTTCTGATACTTTCGTAACTTGATTCAAAACAATACATACTTTACTAAAGTTGAATATTATTTAATCTTTATACATATAATTCTTCTGTATATGTGTATGTCACTGAACTCCTCCTAAACGGCTAGACCGATTTTAATGAATTTTTTTGTGTGTCTTCAAGTCCATTCGAGAACGATTTAGATTCACAATTCGGAACACTACAACATTTTTTTATTTATAAGTTTTCGGATTTAAGTCGTGTGTACAGGGACAACGTTTGTCGGGTCCGCTAGTTGAAATATAAATGATATATTCTACTATACGAACATAATACCTACATTTAAGACATAAAACTCCCCGTTTGTGAAATTAATGTTCATTTTCGGGTCACGGACGCAGTAAAAACGAAATGATCTAGCTTAAGGGGAGGTTATCGACAAGAATATTAAATATAAGGGTAATTCTTGAGTAATTAATATTTACTCAAGAATTACCCTTATAACTTATTGGATTCTAATACATGATCTCATTAATACCTTAAAATTATGGGATTACATAGATGAACTTTCTAATCATATTTCTACAGAGGCTGTTACGTGAGCCGGCAAATAAAATACATTTAAAAAAAAGATTTTAGCTTTATAGAAAGGAGAAGGTTTTCACCAAGTTGGTTTTCACGCTTACCAATTATGGCTAAATCGATTCTTCGGGATCGTAGTGAAGCATTCGCAGGTTATAGCTAAAAGCGAACTGTCAGAGATCGTCTTAAAGTTTTGTTTTACTTCAAGCAGACTACACGAATGATGAAGCGATTCTTATCGCTCCACGGGGTAATCAGAGGGCGGCCGAGAATGTTAAACGTAAGCCGATTTCGTGAGTGCATCTCAGCCCCGACCTTCGTCGAACACACGAACCAATCGATAACACGACGAAATGCGAAAGCTACGATCAATCACTTTGTACGAGAAGGTTGTGAAGAGCGTTTTTCGAGATTACGAAATCGTACCCGTTTCGTAATACATTCGCGAATTACTGTACTAAGAACTGATCTGTATGTAATTAATCTGTAAGGTACACAGACATAGAGATAAGTAATGTTTAGATTTAAGAAGTTAAAGCGACTCAGTAGAGGTTGAGAAGAGCGTTCTTTAAAATTACGAAATCGTACCCGTTTCGTAACACATTCGCGAATTACTGTACTAAGAACTGATCTGTATGTAATTGATCTGTAAGTTACACAGACATAGAGATAAGTAGTGTTTAGATTTAAGAAGTTAAAGCGACTCAGTAGAGAGGTGGAGAAGAGCGTTTTTTAAAATTACGAAATCGTTCCGTTTCGTAAAACATTCGCAAATTACTCTACTAAGAATTGATCTTAGTATGTAATTGAGCTGTAGTTATACAGCCTTAAGTTGCGTTTAGTTTTAAGAAGTTATCAACAATGAGTAAACAATCAGTTTATGGAATAACTTACGATGATAATCGATTATTGTTAATATTGTTAGCCGGATATGGTCGCAGCCGGTTGTGCGTTCAATTTTCGGGTGTGAATTTGTTATGCTAAATGGTATGGTCGTTATTGACTTTTATATATACCATTTCATCAATCAATATCCTCAATGAGCGATATGAAAAGGCAAATCCTTCTAAATATTACAAGAAAATGTCTGTTTAAGAGTTTTCTTGCGCTATAATAAAGACGGCGTAGTGTATAGTGCCACATATTTTTACAATGCCTATAAAATAACTACAAAAAGTTGCGCAGGAATAAGATATGAATATATTTAGATGGCAATAAAACGGGCACGTATAATCGGAATGTCTGGATACTCGTATAATGTTCCAAGTGAAATTATTGTTTTATTATTCTATCTTTGGAAAAACAAGTATCATAATATACTCTTTGTTTTGTAACTAATAGTGGAAAAGCGTGGCTAATAAATCAGTTAGCAATATGGTTATGTCAATGAGGAAGCATGTTTATATCATATAAGCTTCTATTGACGATGAATCAACTTTGATGAACTCGCTGGCTTAGCAGAGTCATCACCAGATATGATATAGGATACAATTCGAGGTCAAAAAGCATACGCATCGCGATGCAAACAAACAAAACTGTCTTGTCATGTACCAGCGTTATCTATCTAAACTTGAGGTCCATTCATGGTATACCCTACTTCCTATAAACGGTCGTGGCACCCCAGCAAGTCCACAAGCCCCACGCATCACAGACGAAGCCGCGCACCAAACTACAAAGCGACACACGTCCATATCCAACACGAAACCGTACCTTGGCGTATTAAAACGTATCGATCCTCACTCGGCGCCGGCCAGACCTACGGGCTGAGCGGTGGAAATTTCGCGAGAAAACCGCGCAAAAGATAAAGAAATACACAACACACAGACCACTCCACTTCCGCAATCACTGCCTATTTGTAAATAACGTTAGAGGCCGCGTCGCATAATTAAAAGTAAACAGGGCAATATCTCTACGCTTGTAACCACCGGTGCTAGAAACGCGAAATTGTATGAACGCGCTCCACTGTATTTCCTTCGGGTGGGAAGGAAAGAGTGGGGTCACTACATGGACTCTTCGTTATGGCTATGTCCGGGACGTGTCCGGGCCACGCCGGCGACGCGACTGCAAGGATCGAACGCCGCCCTGGGGGAGGCTGTGTACATCCACGGGCGCGCACCAATCTGAACCTTGGCGCGTTACCATTAAGCCGCATTCGCGTCGTCGCAACTCGAGCTGCCGTGTATCGATTGCTCGATGCGAGAAGGGGCTAAGTGACCGTCGCTTTCGCCAATTCGGTCTCTATTTCTGAGTGATAGTGTTGAGAATTGTTTGTTACGCATTGTCAGGTTTGAGGCGCGGTCGCAGGGAAAATTAAATAGCGACACGGTCGATAGATGGCGTTGTTATACACCTCACGGTATCCGGGTGTTTCATTAATTCGCATTGTCGGCCGACGTAAGGGAAAATTGGCGCATAGCTGTACGTCCGATATCATGCTTTCTATGTTTATGCAATATTTCTTGGATTTCAGAATAACAAAGGCGTTAGTCAAATTAAAAGCCGTTTGTTTTTCCCGTTAAGTAGTAATCATGACTCTGATGTCAGACGATAATGTGACAATGACGTCTCATGTAGTTTTGTCATTCACCGATCACCGACGTGACACAATGTTGGGACTAATTAATTTGCATAAGTTGAAGACTTGGGGGGGTTATATCGAATTATGTATTTGTAAAAATGTTCGTTCGGTGCACATTCTGAGGGGAGTTCTGCCCTCCATATCGACGCGGTCCCATGGGGCTTTTCGTGAAATTACCCTGGCCCTCCGTGAGATTATACTAATAATATATAATGTAGTGGTATTCTTGTTTAGTTATGATTGTCCTGTTCAAAATTTCGTATAAACTTTATATTATCGCGATCACTACATGACTACATAATTTGAAAATGTTATCATTCGAACAGTTTATAGCGAAACCAGCGCATAAAGCGAGGTAAACTATTTGCTGAGCTTATCTTGAGTGTATTAGGAGCCACTACCGCTTCTTAATAATTTATCTTTGGACAATAGCAAAAGTATAGCTAGAGCAGAAGTACACCAGAATTCGGTGTTCGAAGTGCCACATCTGTATTGCGAAAATTCAATTACATTTTCGTAGTGATATAAAAGTTATCTATTCATATCCCTGTAGAAGTCAGGCTCCTTTGAAATCGAGCATTGCAACACTTGAGTACTGCAGCTATTTGCTGATTTTGCTTTTATAGCTGCTTTGAGGCCCTGGTTTAATATCACACAATTCGTTTTTAGGGTTTTAAGATGTTTACAGATGATGTATTTCTGTTGCCGCTATAACAAAAAATACAAAATAAGAGAATAAAATAAAAAAATAATTAATTGGTGCTCCCATACATGAACATTACAGAAATGATTTTTTTTTTGCTGTTTTTCTAGGTATATGATGTTATAATAGTACGGAACATTTCGTGCGCGAGTCCGTCTCGCACTATTACTCTACAAATTACTTCACTACATAGTATAAAACAAAGTCGTCCCGGTGTCTGTCTGTCCGTATGTATGCTTAGGTCTTTACAACTACGCAACGGATCTCGATGGGGTTTTTTTTACTAAATAGAGTGATTAAAGACAAAGGTCAAATGTCTAATACATCGCACCCGTGCGAAGCCGGGGCGGGTCGCTAGTTTGTTATATTTGCATTGTTCCTTTAATTTTTTTCTCGTTTAGAAGACGGGACGACTCTCCAAACGGGTATTGTATAACATCTAATGACTAACCCCTCGATAGAGTCGGGGCCCAATTAGAGGCGCCGAGAGTGGAGCTACGACTGGCGAAATTGGCATTCAAATCACGCACGGGGCCGTAGGAGGCCGTCGGCGAAGCATACTAATGATCCGAGAGTAATCGCAATACAATGTCGGGACCGCCCTACCGCCGGCGGGCAGTGACGTCCCACGTTCGTTCCCGGTTAAGTCACGGGCTCCACGCCTGTCACGTAACAGGGCGCCCAGGTGCATCTTTGACATCAAAATTTCCGGATGGAAAACGCTTAAATCAAATTTGTGCTACTGACACTGACACTACACTAGGTCCATAAATATGACAAATTTTTTTCGCGGCTTGCGTTGCATTTTTACCTTTTTTGTAGGAAAATTTTTAAATGTATCGAATTTCTTCATTAGAATCACTCATGTTAACAGTAAGAAAAACACATTTTACTAATTTGAAATACAAATGGTATAAGCAAAGAGATAATATTATAACTACATACATACTATTTGCGAAAAGAGTTTTTCCCCAACCTAATATATCTGACTGCATTATACAGGCTTTTATATCAAGTCGGACACACAGTTTAGAAATAAATAGTCGGACGAGGATAAAGCGCATGTATTTTTTTGTTAACACTTTATACGAAAACGTTTTTTACCAAATTGTGGTGTACAAAATTGGATTAAAGTACACATAACGTTTATTGTCCAACACTAGTCAGGGGTCTTAAATGCACAACCCCCCCGTCCCCCCTCTAATACCGCTAGCGCGACCTAACCGCGTGCAACGCTAACACGTGAACCAGCAACGTGACGTGACGTATCGACCCACGTCGCCATGGTTACCCGCCAGACGAGATAATTTAACGTTCTTAGGGGATGCGAGTTTTATACTCTTAGTTCTTCCTCAGAGGAGGTATGTAAGTTCTTCCTGGCGCAAATCCCATGTTCCCATACCGGTTTAAGTTGAGCGTTGTTTGTAACTTTATGCTAACGCTTATTGAGGGTAAGTAAGTAGATAGAAAAAAAAACCCACAATTGTTTATACATATGACATTTTGATGTAGCCAAAATTGAATTCGGAAAAATATTAATTTCAACAATAATGCGTGGTGAACCAGTCTAATTGGTTATTTAAATGGAAACACACATTGGAAATGAATTGATCGCTTCAGGCTCTTTCAACGGTGGACTTTCATATATTTTAAAAGGCAAAAAAAGGTTGTTCCACTGAGCTTTTCTTTCAGCGGTTCTTCACAGACCAGTGGCTTATCGTTTCCGTACAGGCAGTAGTACTTTGACAACCAATAAGTGTAATGCTCCTATGTTAAATAAAGATATTTGAATTCAAATCTCAACCTGCCTATACCGCGAATCTCTTCAACCAACGTCAATTTACAAAACGAGTCTCGCTTCAAAAATCATGCGTGGATCATCAAAACGGCTTTACGTGACAAACGCTTCCCGGGACAATCTCTGTACGAGAGATATACTAAATACAATTAAACATTCTCAGAGACAAAACGATAAGCCAATTCGACTGTGGACAAATCGATAACTTCACGTTAAAAATACATCTTGCGTCTTTTAAGTTGTGTCGAAATGAAGTTGTGGTAGCTCAAATTATAATCTTCTGGCCATTGTTAACAATGACACAAGCAAACCAGATTTTAAATGTCGATGCAAGCACCGCTGAAATCGTCAATTGTAATTTAACAAATGCTTGGAGAAGTAAGAATGTATGAACTAATCTCTATGGAGGTATTATTTACCTAAGGTGTTTTTATGTCGGAACGCCATAACTTCTATAATTCTTCAATCTAATGATTCAAACACCATTTTAAAGCCAATAATGTTATAATATTTATCAAATGTGTCATTGACAATTTACATTTCAGTCAACTTGTTAACTTTATGCTGGGCAACATTTGTATCTAGATTTTCCTTTTTTCCTTTTTCATTTGATACCGAGCACGGATCCTATATATATATGTCGGCCAATTTCTAATAAATTTCAACAGGATAATGTGATCCCGAAAAAAACAATAATTCTTCATTTAAACCGTTACTATGAAGTTCTAAAATTATAAATAATTTATCTTTTGTGTACACAAATAGAAATTTGTCTCTGCCCAATAATACCAATGCGTTGATATTGTTTTCGTATTCCCTACGTTCGATTAAAACGATTGCTGAAGCGAAATGCAGTATATCTAAACTGTCTGCATGAGCACGGCAGATGAAAAACCGGTCTAGACAGCACATACATATTTACATTTCATAAATTTTTCGGTCGTCTCGGATGCGAAATGAATAAATCTCTTTATAAACTGATTACTCAGTTCTTTTTTTTATATTTTTAATTTTTTGGCTTTGGTCGGTAAAGTAATCATTAAATATCCATAGGATTGTTTAAGGGCAAATAAAAGCCGAGCATCCATGTCGACCTATTTCCACTTTTTTAATAAAACTATTCAACATAAACATAATATCTCATTGATTCGATAAAACAGCTTAAATAAAACAAAATATTATTTTACACGTATAAGTGTTTTGTGTGATATTGAATTATCAAACAACAGCAAACTTTTTAGTTGTGTTGAAAAAACGTAAAATGCTACAAGTTGAGGGTCAATTTTATACCTAAAAAACCATAGACAATCACCCATAGACACTCGTAAATCACGAGCGTGCAAATGGCGGGATCAAAACGCTCCGAATCGCACTGCATTGCACGCTGCCGTTTGTTAGGGCAATAAAGGCCCATTTACACGGTGCAAGTTCCTTGCCTGTTATATACAATTAATTTGAAGCAATAAATGAGTTGCATTGTCTAAACAGCACATAACATTCTTGACTGTTGAACAAGACTTGCTTCAAGTTTTGTTTCAAAACTTTCCTTGGTGTAAACAGCACACACAATAATTTCTTAAGCAATTCTTGTATTCAATTGCATTCTCTCTTCCTTCGCAAAAATGAGTGCAATGAGTGAGGGTATTTAATCGTTGATGTTCTTTTGAGGCAACAAATATTGAGAAAAGGTCGTAAAAAAAGTTGGATAAAAATATGAATAATAATATATGGATCATAATAAACAAATCTCAATGAAATATATTGAATCGGCATAATCTAACTTGAACACTTATTATTGAGCCATTTTTTTAAAAAAAAACAGCCCTTTGTAAAACGTTCAACACTTGCATGAAAAATTTGTCAACGCAAATACGTGCAATACTTGAAGCAACACGCCAATAAATTGTACACGCACATACAAGCATGTGTTTAGACAAGTCATAACTTGAAAGCAATAATCGCCTAAACATAATTGCATTGGTGTAAACAAAAGACATTTGCAATTATTTCTTGTCAAGACTTGCATTCAATAATCGCATTCAATTTTTTTTACTATATCTGCGTGTCTGTATC